GTGGGGGTGAAATCAGATCTAGCTGACCTCAGGGCCTGAGGAGTATTCTAAATCACGATTGCATTCTTTTTCACCTGTATCCATTCCAAATTCATTCCAGAAAGGGATAGAATCACGTCAAAGAAGATGTGGCCATTCATTCCTCTAGTTGTTTATTCACTCAAACAGATGTTTATTGAGCATCTCTGCTATCTGCCAGGTACATGGTAGGCATCAGGGATGCAGAAAAGAATACAATGGCAGAGCCAGCCCTCATAGAGCTGGCCTCATTTTCCTCGGTCAGGTCTTGGTGGCAAAGACCACATGTTCCTCATCCTTCTTCAGAAAAGTGTTTCATGAGTATTCAGTATTATGTTGGTAGCCTTCACCCAAGAGGAGTCAGATGGATTATGTTTCTGTTCCAGGTTCTTTCCCTAAATCTATGATTTGCTATGCAGCTAGGCATCTTTGAAAAGTTTCATCATGAATTGTTATAACCTGAACACCACCTTTATCTCCCTCAGAACCTATGGAACACTACATGTCTGTAGGACCAACAGTGGGGGAATGACTTGGTCTTTCTTACTCGCTGGGCCCTTAGTACTGGCACAGAGTGATATTAGTGACCTTTAGGCAGTTCTGCATTCTGAAAATAACTGGCATGTAGTTAAAAATATTTTGTGAGCCTGAATTTGGGGGCTGGGGTAGGGGGGAAGGAACTTTATTATTAAGACACAGGTAATAAGCACACAATGACTGATCTGAGCAATTAATTGATTAATTTTTGGACTATGAAAGCTAATACATTATTTTAAATCTCCATTCGAGGGACTTAGAACTTCATTAAACTAACCTTTTCCATTTATTTATTTATTTTGAGACAGAGTCTCACTGTGTCGCCCTTGGTAGAGTGCCAGTGGCATCACAGCTCACAGCAATCTCAAACTCTAGGGCTTAAGTGATTCTCTTGCCTCAGCCTCCCAAGGAGCTGGGGCTACAGGCGTCTGCTACAATGCCCAGCTATTTCTGTTGTTGTTGTAGTTGTCATTGTTGTTTAGCTGGCCCAGGCTGGGTTCGAACCCGGCAGCTTGGGTGTATGTGGCTGGCACTGCAACCACTGTGCTATAGGCACCAAGCCAACCTTTTTTCTGCATAAAAGATGCTATTGATTTTCTATTTTTTTTTTTTGAGACAGACTCTCAGACTTTATTTCTTTTGATAGAGCATTGTAGTATTATAGCTCACAGCAACCTCAAAAATCTTGGGCTTAAGCAATTCTCTTGCTTCAGCCTTCCCAGTAGCTGGGACTATAGGAAACTGCCATGGCCCCCAGCTATTGTTTTAGATATGGGGGTCTTGCTTTTGCTTGGGCTAGTCTCAAATTCCTGAGCTCAAGAGATCCATTGGCGTTGGCTTCCCAGAGTCCTACCATGTTTCCCCAAAAATAAGACCTACCCCCCAAATAAGCCCTAGCCGGATTTCTACACATTTGTTAAATATAAGCCCTACCCCGATAATAAGACCTAGTAATGGTCTTATTACATTTCAGCACAGAATGGTAAGGAAGACTGGAGCACCTTGTATCTGCCACAGCTCCTTTCTCCCAGCTGTTCGCACTTGCACAGGTGCTCATGTGGTAACCATGGTCGCAGGCATACTATTGCTCATGTGCGAAGGGCCAGGGGAAAGGAGTTCATGCATCACTAGTGCCAGCCCCACCAACAAGGTTGCTCCCCCTGTCAGGTTCCAGAAGAAGATGACTTAACTGTATTTGAATAAATGTAGATTGTTATGTAATATTTAATAAAAATAAGACATCCCCTGAAAATAAGCCCTAGTGTGTCTTCTTGAGAAAAAATAAATATAAGACAGTGTCTTATTTTCCGGGAAACATGGTCACCCTCCCCAGCAGTTTGATTGCTCTTGACCAAGGTCTTTTATTGATGTTGAAAACCCTATTGGATAGCTTCAATCATGCCCACCAGCTAGCTTATTCAAGTGTATTGTCTTAATCATGAAAAGATCTTCATGGCGTAGTAAGAATCCAACTGGTTTTTGTCTCCTCCACCCCACCCTTTTGGGTTCCTGATACCATCACCTCTTGCATGGGCTGTGGGCACAGCCTCCTCACTAGTCTCCCTGCCTCTGCTTCAGGCAGAGTGTTCCTGAACCTTCCAATGCCTTCCCATCTCACTCAGAATAAAAATCAAAATTTTTATAGTCTCCTACTAGGTTCTGTTTAGTTTGGCTCTGTTACCTTTAAATCGATCTCCTACAATTCTTCTCCTAATTCACAGTGTTTTTGCCTGGATGGCCTTTTTGCTATTTCTAGAACGTGCCAGAAGCATCTAAACACTAGCACTGTCCTCTCTGCGTGGATGCTCTTCTTGAGATGTCCAGGCTCACTCTCTCACCTCCTTTATGTCTCCGCTCAAATATGACTTTGTCAGTGAATTCCTTCATGACTACCTGAAATAGAGCACTTCTTTCTCCAGATGTCCTGGCTCCTTCATCTGCTTAATTTTTCTCCATAACATTTATCATCATTTGACAGGCTATGTTTTATTTTATTCTTGCTCTCTCCTGTGCTAGAACATAAGCTCCATGAGGTCAGGGATGTTGTGTGTTTTGTTCATTGCTTCATCCCCAGTACTTAGGACAGAGCTGGGCACACAGTAAACACTTACCACATATCCAGTAATCAGTAAAAGGAAAGTGATATTAATAGCTGACATGGATTTGTAAGATTTATCCTAAAAGAACTGGAACATTGTTTCCTGCTTTTTATGATCTAGAATGTGAGTCCTGAGGCAGGGGCTGAGATTCTCTGGTGCACAAGGTCACTAAGGTTAGTCAAGGACAGATGGATAACTCTGGTCTTTGCAAATTCACTGGTGCCACAGTGCTAGCTGGATAATGTGACCTGGGAATTATCTGCTTCCTCAGGGTGGGATAAATTTCTCTAAGAAATTATGTGGGTGCCTTTCTGGGGTTGGAGGTGGGGAGTTAGGCCATGCAGGAGTGGTTTCATTGGTAGTTTTCCAATTCTAATTCATCTATGGTATAGTCTGTTTAGATTTCCTAACTTATTTAGGCCCAGTTTCTGCAAAGCATACTTATTCTAGAAGAGTATCCTTTTCATTCTTGCTTTTAAATTTGTTCCCACAGTGTTACTTCTTTATGGTTTGAAGTCTTCCATTTCTATGGTTTCCCTTTTATAACTTCCTATTTTGAATAATTATTTTCTCCTTTGTTTTATTTTTAGAAAATTTGCTACTTATTTACCTTTAATTTTTTTCAAGGAATCAGATTTTATGGTTCTGTATTCTACTTTAACAAATTTTCAAGGCTCAGCACTCATAGCACAATGGTTACAGTACCAGCCATATGCATCAAGGCTGGTGGGTTCGAGCCTGGCCAGGGCCAGCTAAACAGCAACAAAAATAGCTGGGCATTGTGGCAGGTACCTGTAGTTCCAGCTGCTTGGGAGGTTGAGGTAAGAGAACTGCATAAGCCCAAGAGTTTGATGTTGCTATGAGCTGTGATGCCATAGCACTCTATAGAGGGTGACATAGTGAGATTCTGTCTCAAAAAAAAAAAAAAAATTCATGTATTGGGGCTGGGCGTGGTGGCTCACACCTATAATCCTAGCACTCTGGGAAGCTAAGGTGGGAGCATCACTTGAGCTCATGGATTTGAGATGAGCTTGAGCAAAGAGCAAGACTCCATCCCTAAAAATAACCAGGCCTTATTGGCCAGCACCTGTAATCCTAACTACTCGGGAGGCTGAGTGAGGAAAGAGGATCACTTGAGCCCAGGAGTTTGAGGTTGCTGTGAGCTATGATGCCAAGGCACTCTACCCAAGGCAACAAAGTGAGACTCAAAAAAAAAAAAAAAATTCATGTCTCATTCACTCCTTTTATCTTTGAAAACTTCATTCTGTTTTTATTTAATTTGTTGGATTTTTAAAAATACAAACTCCTTGAGTCAGATGATTATTTCGTTTGTTTTACTCCTCAATTTATGCCAGTACTAGTATTAGTTTGAAATGCAATTCACAGCACACTACCTTCCCCCGAATAAGTGAATATACCAGTTTCACTGCAAAGGACACCAGCATTTACTACGACTTTTTTCACTGATAGAATAGTACCTCATTTTAATTTGCATTTTCTTTTTTTTTTTTTTTTTGTAGAGACAAGAGTCCCATTCCATCACCCTTGGTAGAGTGCTGTGGCATCACACAGCTCACATCAACCTCCAACTCCCAGGCTCAGGCCATTCTCCTGCCTCAGCCTCCCAAGCAGCTGGGACCACAGGCGCCTGCCACAAGGCTGGGCTATCTTTTGTTGCAGTTTGGCTGGGTTTGAACCTGCCACCCTCGGTATATGGGGCCGGCACCCTCCCCACTGAGCCAAAGGCGCTGCTCTTAATTTGCATTTTCTATGTTAAGAGAATTATTTTTCCATGATTTACTTGACAATTTACTCATGTAAATTGTATTTAATGTTTTGGTCCATTAATTCACTCAATCTTAGTATTTCTATCCTCTTAGTAATGCCAAGAACACCTGTGCAACATGGATATACCACGTGCTTCTCAAGGCTCTTTCAGGGCCCCCAGGTCTTTTATCTCTGTGTTTATGATAGTAGAATCCTCAATACACACGCTCTACAGTGAAATTTTTTGTTCCCAAACTACTTAGACTAGTGTTCTGCATGCTGGATACTAAATACTGAAATGTAGACATAAAAGGACCATTTTTTAAAGACACAATTATTTTTTAAAAATAATTTTTATAAATTGTATTTTTAAAAATTTTAAATTTAAAATTATAAATTTAAATTTATAAATTATATTTTTAAAAATTAAATATCAACGAGCAGAAAGTAATTAGTATTAATGCATGGAAACAAGCAATGGATAAAAAATATTCTGGTTAACTATAAAAGACTGCCTAAGTGCCTGAATAAATGAACACAAAAATGAATTTAAAAAATACTTTATTTACAAAAGTCTCTAAATGTAAAGTTTTGTTAAAAATATATACATGCTCTATTAATTCTATTAGTTAGACTTAGACTTGAAGTCCCATTTTAAACAGCTTTCAGCATCGCAGGCTTGCCTTCCGAGTCACAAGTAATTTCTAGGCTTGCCAGGAGAATGTCTTGTTCTCAGTAATTCCTCAGATCAGTTATGATATTGGTGGCTGTTGTATACAGTATGATGTTTAATCCTCAATATTTCAGAATTTACAAAAGTTGTGTATGTACACTGATCAAAACAAATACAATACCAAGGAATAGCAAAGAAAAACAATCCATCATGTATCTTGACGTGCCAGAGGGACATGTGCTCATAGGAAGCAGAGGTACTACAAAGTATTACTGTAAATTCTTATCTCCCCAGAAACTCGTATCCATCTGTATGGGCATTTTACAAGCTACACTGGCTTTTCTGGTTTGCCGGAAAAAGTCTCATTACGTCGCCCTTAGTAAGAGTGCGATGGTGTCACAGCTCACAGCAACCTCAAACTTTTGGGCTTAAGTGATTCTCTTGCCTCAGCCTCCCAAGTAGCTGGGACTATAGGCACCCGCCACAACGCCCAACTATGGCTTGCTTTTTAAAAGAGTCTTTGTAATCTTCAAACCAAATTCGACAGTACCTCTTTTCACTTTTCTCTAAAGCAAGACACTCCATATGGTTAATATCAACTAACATACAATTTCTCAGATGATGATCTTTTCAGGACATCAAAGTGGAGAAACTGTCCCAGGAAAATCAGATTCTCCAAAGTTGGCTAATCTCATGAACACTGTTTAGAATCTGCTGTTAATCTATAACCAATCAAGGATTCTTTGCCACTGTCATCCACAAGCTGCTCCACTAGCACATGTGGCTTGTCGTAACCAAAAGAGATGGGGGCTTTTCGGGGTGGTACAGACTCTTGTCCTTCTGTCATTATTTCAGTTTGGTTACTTGGCGGGAATTCTGAGTCAGATAATAAGCCCTCTGACTCCACATGGCCACTATCAGAACCATTCCTGGAGTGATAAGAGTTTACAGTGACACTGCACAGTTCAGACTGGTCACTACTTAAAGGCGAAGAATCCTCTCTTTTTATTGGAGTCCGGAGGCTGCCAGGGTCCATGTCAGAAATATTTTCTACAATCGTCACCACTTCCGTTTCACTGGAAGGCTCTTCTCTGTGTCCTGCTTCTCCTGAATTGTCCTCAGTATGCATGCCTGAAATTGTTCCTGGGGACAACTGCTCTTCACAGGTCACCTTCTCCTTTTCCAGAACAAATGGTTGGTATGACGTGATGAGCGATACATATTTTGATTCAGGTTTTGTCTCTGAAGAAGTATTTCTTACCACAGAAAGCTAAAAGAGAGAAAATGATTAAAAAATACATTATTAAGAAATGATAATAAATTATTACATGTGTCTATCCTTAACAAGACAAAAATAAATGTATGAGGTAATGGGCCACCAAATGGCACCTGATAACATAACTGAATCAGGTCGCTGCCTTTTTTTTCTTTGTAATGAAAAGTACTATTAATATATTAAGAGTAAAAGCAAATTTTTAAAATTTTTTTTAAAAGCCACTCAGTACCTCACCAATGTATATTGCCTTCCATATGTATGTAAGTTGTATTTGCAATGAGAGCATACCTACAATTTACATGATAATCTCATTACTTGTCTTCATCCTTATAATTTTCATTATAATCTTTAGTGGTTCTCATTATTTCTTTATAGTGACAGTTAAATAATTTAACAGTAGATGTTGAAGTATTTCCAATTTTTACTAGCAACAGAGCGTGTTGAAAATTTCATACACTATTTCGCTTATGGAATTACTTATAATACTTTTTTTTAGAGACAGAGTCTCACTTTATCACCTTCAGTAGAGTGCTGTGGCGTCACAGCTCACAGCAACCTCCAGTTCTTGGGCTTAGGTGATTCTCTTGTCTCAGCCTCCAAGTAGCTGGGACTACAGGTGCCTGCCACAACGCCCAGATATTTTTTCATTACAGTTTGGCTGGGGCCAGGTTCAAACCTGCCATGCTTGGTATATGGGGACGGCACCCTACTCACTGAGCCACAGGCACCGCCCTACTTATGATAAAATTTTAAGAACTTAATGAGTATGACAAAGGATATAGATGTCTGTGGCACTGTTACGTGTACATTCCCTGTATCTTCCCACCAGGGCTGTCTTCTCTTTACCAGCACATACCAGTTATACTGCTATAGGTACTATTGGATAATCAGTATTTTTCCTCTAGTACATATAAAATGGTATATGCAAGGTTGTTCTGTGCTTAATGACTAGTAAAGACAAATATAATTCATATGTGAACTGACTACTATTGATAGTTCTTACATGCTTTATTTTCTAGCAAATTTCAATGTGTCCTTTGAACATCACAGATATTATATTCCTGTCATTTTTTTTTTCCTTTTGAGACAGAATCTCTTACTTTGTTGCCCTTGGTAGAGTGCTCTGACATCATAGCTCACAGCAACCTTGAAGCCCTGGGCTCAAGCAATCCCCTGCCTCAGCCTCTCGAGTAGCTGGGACTACAGGTGCCCACCACAATGCCCAGCTATGTTTTAGAGATGGAGTCTCACTTTTTTTGATCAGGCTGGCCTGCGAACTCCTGAGGTCAAGCAATCTACCAGTCTCCCAGAGTGTTGAGTTTACAGGTGTGAGCATGACTTGAATCAAATCAACTATTTGTTCATCATAGAAAGGTTCTGAAGTGCTGGACATTAAAATGTCAAAACTCTGGGTTACTCTCACTTTTGGCCAGCTTGCCTTCTACATTCCAACTACAATGAAGGCTTTCTGTATTTGCAGGTCTTCCAAAGCCATGCTTCCTTGACTCTGGACCTTAGCATATTCTGTCCCTTAGTACCGAGATAAAACTCCTCTCTGCCCTGCAGACAGCTGAGGCATCACCACCTCTGGAGAAGCTCCGAGTAACACCCACTCCCCAAAGTTGAATGGAGTCCTCATTGGCTCGTGCATAAATCTTCTACCTTTGACCCTATCACACTGTATATACCTACTGTATACTTATCTTTTCTTCCTACGACATTTCTAGCTCCCTAAAACAAGACAAAAATTTGTTTTACTGTTTGTTTTTCTTTTTCTTTTTTTTAAGACAGAGCCTCAAGCTATCGCCCTGAGTAGGGTGCTGTGGCATCCCAGCTCACAGCAACCTCCAATTCCTGGGCTTAAGCCATTCTCTTGCCTCAGCCTCCCAAGTAGCTGGGACTAGATGTCGGCTACAACACCTAGCTACTTTTTGGTTGTAGTTGTCATTGCTTTGGCAGGCCCGGGCTGGATTCGAACCTGCCAGCTCTAGTGTATGTGGCTGGCGCTTTAGCCGCTTGACCTACAGGGCACTGAGCTTGTTTTTTTTTTTTTTTTTTCATTTCTTGAAAATAAACAAAGTACCTGGTGTAGAGTAAGATTTAGTATATGATTTTGGATGTGTGGTAGACTGAATGATTTATGGCAGGTTATACATTGTCAAGTATTATTCTACTTTAAAAACATAATTTAAAAAACTGTCAAAAAAGGTTCAAGTTAATATTTTCACATATAATCAAATGAAAATATTTAAATACATTACCAAGGACTTGGGTAACATTATGTTTTTCTTCTGAAATGGATTAATCTTCTTAATATAACAAGTGATAAATATCGGGATAATTACTAGAAATAACAGGAATAAAATACAAACTGGAATCCAAGCAGAAACTAAAAAAGGGGGAAAATCACAAAAGAGAATTAAGACAGGATACTACTATTATCTGTCAAAAAGTCTTTGTGATATTCTTTACAAGATTTTACACAGTAGTTAATATGGTCACAGTTTTAAAGAACACTCCAGGATGCAAAAGTCAGGCAATAATAAAAAATTAGGTATGTGTCCCACATCGCAATGAGATTCTTCCAGCTCTGCAATTCTTTTTTCTTTGAGACAGAGTCTCACTATGTTGTCCTCCATAGAGTGCCTGGCAGCACAGCTCACAGCAACCTCAAACTCTTGGGCTTAAGCAATATCTTGCCTCAGCCTCCTAAGTAACTGGGACTACAGGCGCCCGCTATGACACCTGGCTATTTTTTTGTTGCAGTTGTCACTGTCGTTTTAGCTGGCCTGGGCTGGGTTTGAACCTGCCAGCCTCGGTGCATGTGGCCAACACCCCACCCACTGAGCTATGGGCGCCACCCCAGCTTGCAATTCTAAAACTTTCCAGGACTATATTGCTATAACAGCATAATCAAGAGAGTTTTTTTCAGAACAATTTCTCTTTATAGCCTCAAATATAGGAGGTTTCTGTCATTATGCTTTCTCACAGTTAAAAAAGCATAAGAAGAATTAAAAAAAATCTCTCTTCAGAAAAAAGTTCTGAGAATGTTCATAATTTAAAATAATTTAGCCTTAACTCCTCAGAATTTTGTTACATTTATTTCAAGAGTGCAAATACTGAGAAGGATACACAGATGTACACACACAAGAATGTGGTACAGAAAAAAAGTCCCCTTCACTGTTAAACCAGATACAAAGAGGAATATAAAATAGGGAAGATCTTATGCCTACGGTTTATCCTATAAGGGTACATGTGAATCTCTCTAAATGTAGAATATAAATGTCTTTTTTTTTTGAGACAGAGCCTCAAGCTATCCCCCTGGGTAGAGTGCCATGGCATCACGTTCACAGCAACCTCCAACTCCTGGGCTCAAGCGAGTCTCCTGCCTCAGCCTCCCAAGTAGCTGGGACTACAGGCACCCGCCACAACGCCTGGCCATTTTTTGGTTGCAGCCATCATTGTTGTTTGGCGGGCCCGGGCTGGGGATTCGAACCCGCCACCTTAGGTGTATGTGGCTGGCGCCTTAGCCACTTGAGCCACAGGCGTCAAGCCAGAATATAAATGTCTTAATACAATAAGTAAGAAAATGACATAAAGGCTATGTTAACCAGTTGGATCAAAGTATTTCAAATTGTATACAGCAAAAGCACTCTGTACCCCATGACAGCATTATGTACACAGATATGATTTAATAGAAAAAATAGAGAAGATCTGTTTCAGAGCACAGACATCTAGAAGCACCATTGTATATTCTGCCGTCACGGTGCTTTTTATGTAAGCAGCATGATCTTCAGTCTTTTCTTACAGGCCTCTCTTCCAAGTTAATAGTTCTCTATGTATATTGTGCTGGCATTTGGCTTCCTTCAGGGCGTTTTATTACCTTGAATTTCTACTCCAAAGTTACTTCTTTGGAATAGTAACTTTGGAAGTTAACTAGTTAATGAATGCTTCTATTATGCCTATTATAGTTTTGAGAAAAAGTTAAACCATTACTATAGGAAAGATAAACTTACCACATAACTAATAGCAGCACTGTGCCAGAAGTTCTGCAGGCTGAGAGGTGCTATGTGCAAGGCCCTGAAGCAGGTGGGGAGGGAGCCTCCCGAGCTGCACTGGTGCCACCATGTGGCCAGAACAGCAGTCCAGTTTACATTTCAGGCTTTTTGAAAATGAATCTGGGGCACCTATTTGCATTATTTCAAATTTTGTGCATAAAGTAATATTTTATTTCTCAAATAGCATAATGCAATTAGCACAAAATGCACTGTATTACTTTATCTTTTTTAAAATTAAGTCATAGCTGTGTACTTTAATGCAATCATGGGGTACAATGTGCTGGCTGTATTACTTTAATCATCTATTTGAAACCTTCATGTAATGCCCTGAAAAGTCTTCAGTATTAAGTTTTATATTTTAGGTATTTGGTCTCACTCTTCAGCCTATATTTCCATTCTTCAAAAAGATATTGGTTTCATAAAATTTAGAAAATTTTTTAACCTAGGAAAAACATTCTAAAACATCCTGATAATAGGAGAAAAAAAAATATATAGACACTCATAAAGCTTGATATGTATCATCAAAGCATGATTTTACCCTAGTGAAAACCTCACAATCTTAAAAAAGTTCAAAAATTGTACAATACTAAATAAAAAAGAATATAATTTACGTGACGAAATATTCTAGAAACATTAAAAAATATTAATGAAGATACCCACAATAAAATGGAAAAGTATTTATAATGTATGTTTAAAACATACATGAAATTATATATACCAGATAATATGATCATGGCTATGTAGTAAAACTAAAGAAAACACCAAACTGTAAATAATGGGTTATTTTGGGGATGGCAAAACTACAGATAATTTTGTTTTCTCCTGGCTTTTCAGATTTTACAAATTATCTATAACAAACACTTGAATTTCACAATTGCAAAGAAAAGTACAAACATTTTTTTAAAGATACCTGCTACCTAATAATGCCAGCTTTAAAGTTCTATTATATGTAACCATACCCCCAACCAAAGAAAAGATGAAATAAAATTACTTTAAAATGTTATAAAATTATCTATAGTTCACTATTAAAAATGATGTATATACTTTTTGAATATTTTCTAATTCACACAGTTTTAAATCTATCACAGTTTTAATCGATGAACATTCCAGGTATCTAGCTTTTTATTTTTGCAGTTTTTGGCCGGGGCTGGGTTTGAACCCACCACCTCTAGTACATGGGGCCAGGACCCTACTCCTTTAAGTCACAGGTGCATCCTGGTATCTAGCTTTTAAACTTGTGTACAATCCCAATAACATTTTAATGTGGAAGCACTGTGGCTCAGTGAGTAGGGCATCAGCCCCATATCCTAAGGGTGGCAGGTTTGAATCCCACCCTGGCCAAACTGCAACAACAATAAAATAGCCAGTGCTGTGGCAGGCGCCTGTAGTCTGAGCTACTCGGGAGGCTGAGGCAAGAGAATCACCTAAGCCCAAGAGCTGGAGGTTGCTGTGAGCTGTGATGCCACAGCACTCTACCAAGGGTGATAAAATGAGACTATCTCTTAAAAACAAAAACAAAACAAAAAACCCTAACATTTTCATGGATTCAGAACATTTTGCTATGTTAAAGTAACAAGTTGATTTATTATTCTCCTTAATTCTATAATCCTGAAATGCAGACAACACTTATGTACTAGTTTTAAGCATTTGCTATATTTTTTTTCTTTGCCGGGTCAAAAGGCCATCATACATGGCTTTCTAAATTATTTGTTCTCTATTTTGTAATGCCCAAGATACTGCCTTATTTCTATTTTAAACTCCGATGAATGGAACTACTCAATATTTTTAAAAAGAAAACTGATATTTTTAAGTTGAAAAGAATTTGTCTCTTTTCACATTATCCTATTCACCTTATCTGTTTTTAGGAAAAAACAAAGGCAAGAACTTACCTTCTTTGCTCTCACTGAAAACAGTAATACAAACTTCTTTTGACCTTTCCGTTTTACCATCCCTTTTGTCTGAGACTCCTTCTGCTGAAACACAGTACTGAGAATTCACTGAGGACGCTGGAATACTCAACTGGCACCCAGTGTCCTCACAATCCTTTTCCGTTGTCTGTATGGATAGTCTTTCTATTGTCTGGGAAAGAAAATAATGAAAATGCATGGCTTCTTTTAATCTGCCAAATAAAAATCAGCATATCAATCCTGGTCAAACAGCTGATGAAAACACATGATTAATGTTGAACATGTCCAAAAAATAGCTTTGAAATCCAATCCTGAATCCAATATAGCATGATGCTATGTATCCAATAAAATATTCGTTATAGGGACAATCAGTTTAAAAACTCAAATAACAGGAATGTTCATTTAACAAATGTTCATTTGTCCTATTCCTAGAGTGCTAGAAACTTAGTTGGTGAGAGACAAAGCATTTTATGGGAACAATAATAAAGGCATTGTGCAAAGGCTGTAGGATCGCTGAGCGATACTGCACAGAAGTGACCGAAGCAGACTCTGGTAGCACCGCACTCATTCAATCAGCGGCAGGGCATGCGCCACCTGCACTAGAGCCTGAAGCCACAGAGGCAGGATGGTGGTGCCTGACTTCAAATAACTTAGAGATAAGAACAGAGATTAGGGAGTACTGCAAAAGGAATACCACACAGAAGTAAGAATAACGCCATCACAGGAGAATCTAGTGGATCAGAAGAATTCAAAGGGGAGGCCAGGGGCAGTGGCTTAATCATAGCACTCTGGAAGACCCATTCAGGAAGCTCCCTTGAGCTCAGGAGCTCCAGACCAGCCTTAGCAAGAGTGAGATTGTCTCTACTAAAAATGGGAAAATTAGCCAGGTGCTGTGGCGGGCGCCTGTAATCCCAGCTACTTGTGAGGCTGAGGCAGGAGGATTGCTTAAACCCAGGAGTCTGAGGTTGCTGTGAGTTAGGCTGATGCCACAGCACACCAGCCTGTGGGGAGAAAAAAAGAATTCAAAGGGCAGATGATACCCCAGTGGACTCCTAAAGAAGCAGCAGAAGTCTGCCAAATGGAAGCAGCAGAGAAGGGCACTCTGTGAAAGGGCATGCCACCTTCAAGGAACCACGAATAAGCAGTTCACCAAAGCATGAACACAAGGTTGGAGGAAAAGGGGAGAAAGGCGGCTGGAGACGATACAAGAGGCCAAATCCAAAGGCCTGCAGACCAGGCCACCAGAGAGCATTTAGACATCATTCTGAAGCCAATGGGGCTTTGGGAAAAGGTTATAAGCAGAAGCGTAAATGATTAGGCTTGTACTTAAGAAAGACATCTCTGTTAGCAACCAAAGTGACATTTAAAAATCTAAATCGGTTCAGCGCCTGCAGCTCAGCAGCTAGGGCACCAGCCACATATACCCGAGCTGGCAGGTTCGAATCCAGCCTGGGCCTGCCAGACAACAACTACAACCAAAAAATAGCTGAGCATTGTGGCGGGTGCCTGTAGTCCTACCTACTTGGGAGGCTGAGGCAAGAGAGTCGCTTAAGCCCAAGAGTTTGAGGTTGCTGTGAGCTATGACGTCACAGCACTCTACTAAGGGTGACAAAGTAAGACTCTGTCTCAAAAAATAAAATAAAATAACATAAAATAAAAATCTAAATCAGATGTCCCTCTTCCTGTTCGTATCTGTCCAGAGGCACAACATCTCACTTCGAATAAAAATATGAAAGACAAATCTCTCCAGAGCCCTAAGAGATGTGGCCCCCCCAGGGCCCTCGCTTCTCACCTGCTCCTGCACTTGGCCCAGCCGCACTGGTCCCCTTACACGTCCCCTTATAGGTTTACTATGCTTCTGTCAGGGCCTTTGCCTGAGTGCTCCCCCAGGTACACCAGTGAGGCTTACCTCTCAGCCTCCTTCAGCCATGGCTCCAGCTAACAACCTCACTGTGAGGCCTGCTCTAATCATCCTCTTAAAAATCACTATCCACTGGCTTGGCTCCTATAGCTCAGCGGCCATGGTGCCAGCCACATACACAAATTTGAAGCTGGCCCAGGTCTGCCAAACAACGACAACTACAACCAAAAAACAGTCAGGGGCTGTGGTGGGTGCCTGTAGTTCTAGCTACTTGGGAGGCTGAGGCAAGGGAATTGCATAAGCCCAAGATTTTGAGGTTGCTGTGAGCTATGACACCATTGCACTCTATGGAGGGCAACATAGGAGACTCTGTCTCAAAAAAAAAAAAAAAAATCACAATCCACCCATTCCTTCCCCCTCCCTGCTGCCCATCCTCCTTTCCTGCTCCATGGCAATTCTCCCCGAGTTTTGTCTGTACTGTCTGCTGCTATACTCCCAGTGCCTAGAAGTGACGTAGTGTGTGCGTGATAAATATTTGTTTAAAAAATTAATGGCAGCATTGTGGAGGGTGGAGTAGAATAGTTCTAATGATAGTGTGGGCTCCATACCAATGCCAGAATGTAATTATAAGCCCATGGTGCATTGTTAATTTTATCTTTAAAAACAATGATTTATGCTACAACTTCATATTATTTTACATCACTGCCAGTGAGAAAAAACAGGTTAAAATTATCTTACTAGTGGAGAAATGGAAGCATATAGGGAAAAACTGTAGATCTGGGCCATGCTGTGAAATGAGGCAACAAAAAAATGTAAATGTGTTCATATTGTGATAGGATTAAACTTATATCAATTCCTTTGAAGAGTAGTCACATATTTTTTTCTTACTGAAATCTATGATATGTGAGTCTTGTTTGGATATTGTAAACATTCTACCTTCTTTTTTGGAGGGCGGGGGGACACACCCTCTAGTCTTTTTTTTTTTTTTTTTTTGGCCAGGGCTGGGTTTGAACCCACTACCCTCGGTATATGGGGCCAGTGCCCTACTCCTTGAGCCACAGGCACTGCCCCAACATTCTACCTTCATTACAGTACAGAAAGAAACTTAACGCTAGCTACAGAATAATTCCCATTTTGAAAACTGTGAACTATTAATAGAAATACATACCTCACTTTTATTCACTATCACATGCACGGTGTACACGAATTCATAACAGCTCAAGACATCATAAGGCACGGCTTCCTGTTCTCCATTTACAACAATTAAAGGATCAGCTATGTCAATAATGATTTTTTTTTCCTGCTTTGTGACATTCAGTTCAGGTGGTCCCATTTTTCCTGGGGAAGGAAGAGGAGTACAATTAGTACTGGCCTTGGAACTTTAGAGTATATCTCATACAATTTCCCAAATCAATCAATAATCTACCTTTTCTGTTTCTGTTCTAAAGAAGGACCACATTTAATCTCCTCCACAAAGATCAAGAGACATTCTAAGTTTCCTTAAAGGGAATATTTAATAAATAAAAGGCAAGAGGTATTCTATTAAACAACTCTTAATTTCACTTCTAGTTTTAGAGAAAACAGGCAATAATCCTTAGTTAAAAATAAATAAAACCTGACAGAAGAGAAGCTCTATTAAGTAATTTACTTCTGTGGATTAGGAAACTTGGTTTCTAAAATGTTTCAGAAAAAGCATTTTATTTACCTTCCCTTACCCAAACTCTTTGCATCTTCAACATCTATGGGTTTCTGGCATGAAGACTAAGTTTGCTTAAACTCATTCAATTTTCTTTTTTTGAGACAGAGCCTCAAGATGTCCCCCTGGGTAGAGTGCCATGGCATCATAGCTCATGGCAACCTCCAACTCCTGGGCTCAAGTGAGTCTCCTGCCTCAGCCTCCCAAGTAGCTGGGACCACAGGTGCCTGCCATAACGCCTGGCTATTTTTTGGTTGCAGTCGTCACTGTTGTTTGGCGGGCCTGGGCTGCATTCGAACTCGCCACCTTAGGTGTATGTGGCTGGCGCCTTAGCTGCTTGAGCCATAGGCACTGAGCCAAACTCATTCAATTTTTATGGTGAAAATCAGAACTATGTATTTATCTATTTCACAAGTACTAATTATATGTCTTTGATGTTGAGACTTGGTTGGTGAACCATTATCTACCGGCTGTATATTCAATGCATATTCCTGTGTGCTGAGCAGGTCTGCCCGCATCCACCAGTGTATCCTCAGAGCCTAGCATACTTTCTGGCACATATTAGGCCCCTGATAAGTTGGTATGGGAAAAATCTGATATATGGATAGAGATATTATCAGATGATGAAGGCATGGGTTCTTCTTGGGAGTAACAATATTTAAAGGGCAAATAGAGGAGAGGCCCATGAAAAGACCAAGGAAGCACAATTTGGAAAGTGGGAGGAGAATACGGAAGGGAAGGAAGTCAGAAGAAAAGGTACTGTAGGACAAGAAGCCTGGAGAGACGTCAAGAAACACCAGGTTTCAGGTGGTGCCTATGGCTCAAAGGGGTGGGGCACTGGCCCCATATGCCAGAGGTGGCAGGTTCAAACTCAGCCCCGGCTAAAAACTACAAAATTTTTATATATATAGATAAAGAAACAACAGGTTTCTTTTGCTCAGGAGTGAGGATCTGTGAGCCAAGGTAGATGGTCACAGTCAGAACACAGGAACTAGCACTAAGGGTGCTGGAGGCTGAGGTAATAACACAGATCAAGTATACTACGGGAGTGGGATGCTGGACAGTGAAGAGCTGAAAATCACAGGGGCTGGAGAGATGAAAAAAGCTGTAAGTTTTTAAGGACTTAAGGTAGAGAAAAGAATGACAGCTGCTAAGTCCTCAGCAAATGTAACTTATAAATGAATGATGGAAGACAGGATGGGAAAAAGCTGGACAGTACAGCTGGATAGCAACGATCGTATTTGTATGGAGTAGAAATGTCAGGGATTTCCAAGGGGCAAAGTGATGGCCACCTCTTAGCCTTGTTCTGTAGGAAGGGAAAGAAAAGGAAGATGAAGGGAGAGCATCCCTTATCTGAAACATTTGGGACCAAAAATATTTTGGATTTCTAATTGTTTTGGATCTTAGAATATTTGCATTATACTTACCAGTTGGGCATGCTAAATCCAAAAATCTGACTTTGAGCGTCATGTCACCTCCAAAAAGTTTCAGATTTTTGAATATTTCAGATCTCAGGGTTTTGGATTTGGTATGCTCAACCAATACTGACTCTCTATATTCCTCCAAATGTGTCTTAAGTACTGTGGTAAGTTTTAGCAACTGCTAATAAAAGCAAATATACACAGAAGACATGTACAAGCATTTTCAAATTTAAAATTTACATTCCACTCACCATGTTTGCACAAAATAAATTCTTTTGATTCTACATAGTTTGACTCTTTTTGTCCAACCCGAGCTTTAACTCTGACCCAGAGAGGACGTGCTGGATAATCGACGTATTTAAAAATAAAACAATAGTGATGAGAAGTATTGACGCAGGCATCAGTCCACTCATCATCCCTAAAACAAAAAGGAATAACGAAACACAAAGATAACTTTCAGCGTTATCATATAAACTCAAATCATCTCTGTGCATTGTTTTTCATTTATAGCATACAGCAAACTAGTGGAAAGAGCTGAACAAGAATAGGACGGAGAGGCTAGACAAAGTAGGAAGCCCTTAGTCCTTGGTTAGAAGCACTATAAAGTCTTTTATAATGAAGAGGCTCAGTTAAAAATATAAGACCCATACAAATGACATTCCACAACTAACTTCTAAAGATCTACTTTTTAAACAACTGTAGATATTACTTAGTTATAGGATCACACTACCAACACTCCTCAGTTGTCAAAAACTTTTTAGAGTTTTGTATCTTTCTACTAAAATACATACACTATAGGAAGATGATATCTTAACTATTAACTTTGTTTATTAAGCCTTAAAATCTCATAAAGTAGTGATACTTCTCTACTTTAATACTGACAGGAAGAAGAAATAAGTGGCAGGAAATATTCTGCAAAGAATTACTTTGCATCTTTAGCCTTCTGGATATCTACGAGCAGTTCAGGAAGTTCTGCCACATGTGAAGGCAGGATGATGAGAGGCAACCCGGAGCTATGGACCATGCAAGGACCCCACCGAATAAAAGGATAAAAGAGCAACACTCACCCATAGATCTTTACCTGGGTAGTAAACACAGGGCTCTGTGGCATGGCTGGGTACTCCCAAGAGACGATAGGGTTCATGTTATAGGACGTCACTGTGACATGGGTTGGTGCGGGCACTGTAAGAGATTCAAAAAATTCAATGGGCAACAGTAAAAAACTAACACTAACATTAGAAAACCTTATCATAAGATGCTATGTTAGTCCAACAATACATCTGGAGGAAAGTAAACTCCAACAGGATACTAAGTAGATTTGTAGAAATTAATTTTATTGAAAAATGTACAGAAAAGTTCTGATTTATTTTTAAATTTTGGCAACATATATGGGAAACCCAAATATAACACAAAGCAATAATTCCCATAATGTTTTAGGAGATTTAAATAAATGCACTGCCTACTATAATAGTAATCTCAATTCATTTAATCACTGGAATTTTCGATATTTGATACCACAGATTGCATTCAATGTTCAGAAAGAAACTGGCTAAATCAGGGATGGCCAATTTCACTCTGAAACATCACAGGCTCTCGCCCTATACCCAGTAAATATTCTATATATCTTTATTATTATTATTATTATTATTTTTAGAGACAGAGTCTCACTTTGCCTTCCTTGGTAGAGTGTCAGGGTGTCATAGCTCATAGCATCCTCAAACTCCTAGGGCTCAAATGATCCTCTTGTCTCAGTCTCCCAAGTACCTGGGACTACAGGTGCCCACCACAATGCCCAGCTAATTTTTAGAGATAGGGTCTTGCACGCCTGACCTCAAGCCATCTGCCTGTCTCTGCCTCCCATTGTGCTAGGATTGCAGGCGTGAGCTACCACACTGTCCTACTATTATACCTTTAACGCCTTTTCTATAACACAGGAAGAGATGCCTGAAGCTTGACTGAAGGACTCAGTGACCACCAACATTCTGCTGTCTGGGGTGTAGAGAGGCTTTTTACAAAACACACCAAATATTTCTTTTTGGTTTTGGTCTTTTAAGCCATTTCAGAAAACATCTGTTAATTAAGACTTGGAAGGGTCTCAGGAAAGATGCAGCAAAAGTAATCAGACAACACCAAAACCTAGTTATTAAAAGTAGCCATTTTCTCCCTGCTCAGTGTAAAAGTTGTCATGTACCCTTTGGAAAACCAAATGCTCACAAATCCTCTCCTTCCCTTCACTTCTTTAAGATGAACATGAAGGGACAGAGTTGGCAATATAACCCCAAGTTTAAGGGGTTTCTACCAAGCCAGAAAATTCCACTAAATGTGATTTATTTATATGTAATACAAATAAACAAATGAATGGTGATGTGGATAGGAGCACTGCTTTCCAAACATAACTTATCATTCTCAAAAACTGCAAGAGAGCCAGAAGTTTGTATTTTTCCAAAGCACCTTGGATAATAATTATGCTTACTGACATGCATGTCAAGTGGATGGCCCTAATAAAAATACTCCCTGAGTCCAACATTAAGAAACCTGGGTTCCAGCTCGGTGCCTGTAGCTTAGCGGCTACGGTGCCAGCCACATATACCAGAGCTGGTGAGTTTGAATCCAGCCCGGGCCTACCAAACAATGACAACTACAACCAAAAAATGGCTGGGCACTGTGGCAGACACCTGTAGTCCCAGTTACTTGGGAGGCTGAGGCAAGAGAATCACTTAAGCCCAAGAGTTTGAGGTTGCTGTGAGTTGTGACCCCATGGCGCTCTACCCAGGGTGACAGCTTGAGATTCTGTCTCAAGAAAAAAAAAAAAGAAAGAAAGAAAAGAAAAAAAGAAACTTGGGTTCTTCCCTGGCTATACTGCTAAACAGTTATTTCAGATTTACACGTGTCAATTTCACATACACGAGATACTTGCTTACTGTCAAAGGAAACACCTACTATATTTTTCCCAAAACAAAAATTTCAATACTCAAGATCAAACTGGTACATTGCTTTAATTCACGATTAGTTAACACATGTATTATGTTTTCAAAGCAGAACAAGGATCAAGATTTATCTGGGTAAATAATGTGCACTAAAGGACAATTAGATTTTCCTGCCATGGTTGTCTTTTTCTGAGCCTTTTCTCCTTTAAGGCAGTGGTTCTTAGCAGGAGGTGATTTTGTTCCCCTGAAGACATTACACAGTGTTTTGTAGACATTTTTGGTTCTCACGACCTACAGGCATCTAGAGGTGGAGGCCAGGGATGCTGCTGACTGTTCTACTGCACAGGACAATTATTCACAACAAAAAATAACGCAGCCCAAAATGTCAATAGTGCAAGGTTGAGAAACCCTGTTTTATATGTTTATAATTTTAGGAGTTTTCCCCCCAGTTTAAAAGGAAAAACTAATTTAAAACAACACTTCAGGCTCTGCACCTGTGGCTCAAGTGGCTAAGGCGCCAGCCACATACACCTAAGGTGGTGGGTTTGAATCTAACACCAGAGCTGGTGAGTTTGAATCCAGCCCGGGCCTGCCAAAAAAACAATGATAGCTACAACCAAAAAATAGCCAGGTGTTGTGGTGGGCGCCTGTGGTCCCAGCTACTTGGGAGGTAGAGACAGGAGACTTGCTTGAGCCCAGGAGTTGGAGTTTGCTGTGAGCGTTATGCCACAGCACTCTACCCAGGGGGATAGCTTGAGGCTCTGTCTCAAAAAAAAAAACAAAAACAAAACAATGCTTCACAGTAAACCAGTATTTCCAGGCTCTCTCCAGCCAAAGGAATAGATTTAATTACTGCCAAAATATCTAACTTCTAATTATCACCTAAATATTATACCAAAGTAATGTAACAATTCGGACCAAAAGAATGCGATTATGTAGCTAGAGTGTCTCACAGATTCAAATACTCCCTACTACATGAGCTTTCTATGGCCAGTCATCATGAGGCAAGGGAGTAAAAGCAGAGCTAAAGATCTGTCCTAGTCACTCCGCACAGGTGTTAGTCAAACAGTCTGTAACACTCCTACCTCCACTGCAGCAGACATCTCTGTTATCTGTATGTGCTGGGCCTAGATAGTAACCTTGTAACTTCCTTAACCTTCTGTCACCTTTGAGGACAGGTAGCCAGATCGGTACCAAGGGCGCGGGCCAACCTGACCTTCCCTCAAGTCCCAAGACTTTCCCGTCTGTCACATCTCTCACATCCTTCACGACTTTCACACGCACTCTAGCCCTAACAAATGTATAAAAGAAAGGCAAGAGATTGAGTGCGGGAGCTCGGTTTTTAGGACACTAGTCCACTGAGTCTCCCAGCCGGAGAATAAAGCTGCTTCCTCTTCCAACTAGTGCCTGGAGTCTTCTGTCTGCATCGGTTTCCTGCTACAATCAGATAGCTATAATTTTTCTCCTTATGCTTCCTGGAAGACTGATGAAGGCAAGTGGCACCTGTCATCCTTGGTTCTCTACCCAACTTCCTTGTAGGTGAGCCTGAAAGCACTATTCTTGCGAAATTTATGTCTGGCTCTTCTCCTTTGGATTTGGCGGTGTTCCCATGGCCGTACGCAGCCGGGAATACTGAGGCTTTCTTAAGAAGGTTCCTTTTTCTGTGGTAAGTTTGCACCTCAACTTTCTGAAACACTTAGTCTCAAATAGTTTACAACTGGTGCTTTAGGTTGAAACAAAAGCCACTTTCCCCTTGGATTCAATTAACATTAATATCAAATAACAATCACACATATAAACATAATTTTGCAAGTAGGTAAGAAAGAGAGGTACCTAATGCTAAGAAAACCATACTGAATCTGAGCTTCGATTCAGAAGCCATGTCTTAGTTTTAGCATCTTTTGCCTCCTAAGAGGCTGAGTATTTTCAAATCATCGGTCCTGGGTTCTTCTGGTTTAACAGTCTTTCCCATGATTAGTCTAAGTCTTGCATTTTATTTAAAGAAGCAAGAAGAAACCAGATGGCCACTTCAACATTTTGCTTGGAGACTCTTGAGCCAGATCACACAGTTCATCAGGCACATACTCGACTTTCCATGTTACTGAAGCTTTCTGCACGACACAACCAGGGTCCTCCTTCCTCTAGTTTCTAATTGTGGAGAGTGGGCTGAGACAGCAGGGCCCTCACGCCTGGAGAACATTCAGAGAATGAGCCCCCAGCTGCTTCTCCTCCATCCCCCAAACAGCCATATTCCCTTCTTCATGCTCCCTCTGCCAGCAGTCATGTAGCCCTTTCTTTGTCTAGTTAACTATACGGAGATCCTTGAGCTCTCTCCTCCTTTCTCCTTGTCATAAGCTAACAAACGTCGAGTAGAAACTACTGAGTCACACGGGTCTTCGTTTTGTTAACTACGCAGAGATCTTTGTGACCTCTCCCTTCTTACTTCTCGTCATATATTAATGAAGTTGAGTAGAAACCATTAACAAGATGTCTCTATTCCAGTCATTTACAGTTTCTAATCATATATTAAGACCAAAAATATGTCTTTTGTTTATGCTATGTCCCTGCAGAGAACCCTGTACAGATACTATAAAATAAAGCTGTTTTGTGCTTTGGGGCTGGCTGTGACCATCAGCTCAGTCAGTCCTCCTGGTCCCATCCTTTGTTTCCGTGTCTTCTCTTGTGCTGTATTTTCCTCATCCCCCACCAATTCCACTCTGGTTCGCTCCCCTTCACCACGCTGGTTCACGACATCTAATAGTGACAAGTCCTTCACTTCCCTGTTAGGCCCTCTTTTTAATTATTCCCAACAGGAATGGTTTTACAACAGTATATGCTCAATCTGGAATTCCTATATTGGAGGAAAAAGCATAAAGAAGTCAATCTGCATACTAGAGTATCAAAGACAGTATCTTTGTATTTGGGAGGGGGCTACTGAGTTAAACATTATAAACTCACAAACAGACTTCTGCAGCACTAGATTACTTTTTTTTAAAAACTTCTCTCAAATTAATATGTGGATACAATATTTAGGTTATATTGTTCTCACTTTCAAGGTAAAGTTCCATCTGTAGAAGAGCCCCTAGTTAGTTTTTAATATGAAACAAAGTATGCGTCCTAAATCTGAGTAAAAGCCTGATATACTTAGACTAGGACTTAAAGAAATCTCAGCTTTCAAAGTAATCAAGACACGTGGCAGGAGGAAGAGATGTCAATAGATCATAACAGAAGAGATCAAATACCAGGTTAAAGGAG